GAGATAAAGCTAGGAAAAGAAGAAAGTGAAAGGAAAAGCAAAGAAGGTAATGTTTGAAACACAGATCTAAAGCTTAATACCATATAAAAAGATGAAAGACAATTAAAGCTAAAAATGGGAAAAAACATTATTATAAAACACAGATCTAAAGCTTAATACCATATAAAAAGATGAAAGAAAATTAAAGCTAAAAATGGGAAAAAACATTATTTGATAAAACCCAGCAAGAGCTAGAAAGGAATTTATATGTGAAGCAGAAAAACCCATAATATATAAAAAAAAAAAAAAAATAAAATAAAAACTCGAAGATAAAGCTAGGAAAAGAAGAAAGTGAAAGGAAAAGCAAAGAAGGTAATGTTTGAAACACAGATCTAAAGCTTAATACCATATAAAAAGATGAAAGAAAATTAAAGCTAAAAATGGGAAAAAACATTATTTGATAAAACCCAGCAAGAGCTAGAAAGGAATTTATATGTGAAGCAGAAAAACCCACTTAATATATAAAGTACTTTCAAAAGTTTTCAAATCTGCCCAGGCTCAGTGGTTATGTGTCAACTTATGAACCAGGAGGTCACGGTTTGATTCCTGGTCAGAGTGCATGCCTGGGTTGCAGGCTCAATCCCCAGTGTGGGGTGTGCATTGATGTTTGTATCTCTCTCCTTCCGTTGCCCTTCCTCTCTGTAATCAATATATATTTTAAGTCTTTCAATCATCCTTCCTGAAGAATATTAGAAAATAGATGGGAAAACTTACTTACCTTTCGAACAATACCGTCTTCTACATTTGATTTTTTATTGCCGCCCTGTTTACCCAATAAAGTAATCTCTAGTTGACAAAAAGGCTTTGGTAAAATATCACATTGTGTAAAGAACTTTCGCCATTCAACAATATATGCTTTTAGCAAAGCTGTATCATCTTGATGGCTTAGTACTCGCTGGAGAAAAAGAAAAGAATTGTATCAATTTGAAATACAGGCACTTTAAAGAATACTAGAATATTTTTATGCTATAAATTTAGAATAGTTATAGCATAAACTATCTTATACCCAAAAGAAAATAAAACATATGTAATATCCAAGAGAAAATTAAAATGTTCACACAGACTTGTGATTTCACAATTAATACATATATCTGATCATTATGGTATATACATGAAACTAATAAAATGCTCTTATGTCAATAAGGTCAATTAAAAAAAATCCTGTATCATATTCTTCGTAATACTTTAGGCAATAAAACAAAATTTAAAAAAAAAAGAAAAGCAAAAGGCAAATAAATGAATGTTGTAGAAAGAAAAAACAACAACAAAAAAATCCCCTGTATCCATTATCACCTTATCTTCCCCTTTATCTCTCCCCTCTCCTACCCCTTCTCAGCCTTAAACAACCACTAATTTACTTTCTGTGTCTTATCTATTTGCCTGTTGTAGAGTGTGCCCATATCATATTCCTTTTTGTGGCTAAATACTATTTCATTTTATCGAAGCACTATATTTTATTCATTTTTGTCTACTGACAGACATTGGGTTTTTTTCACCTTTTAGTTATCATGAATAATCCTATATAATAAAGGCCCAGCGACCATAACGGCAGAACGACCAGATGACTGCTCAACCAGTCACTATGAGGTGCACTGACCACCTCTCAGTCCCTTTCCCTGGCAGGCAGGCTCCGATCACCGATGGTAAAGAGGGACCCCAGGTGGGTGGTGGGGGATGCGGGTGGCGCCAGGCCAAGACCCCTGCTCTGCCGGTCGCCCCAAACAGAGGGCAACCGGTTTTGGGGTCGGGGCTGGCAAGCAGGCGGGAATGGCCGACCTCTCAGTCCCTCTCTCCCGGCCATCAGGTTCTCATCGCTGGATGGTGAATGGGAAACTGGGGTGGGTGGCAGTGTGGGGTGGGGCCGGCTGCTGGCAGCTGGGGAAGGTGGCCCTGATCACCGGCTAGGCCTAGGGACCATATCTGCACACGATTTCATGTGCTGGACCTCTAGTCTATATAATAAAGAGCCAGGGTCGTAACAAGGCTCGACCAGACTGGGGCTGCTGCCCTGCAGCTGGCCTGGGTGAAGCCACCCTGGTCCCGGGTACCTGATGCTGGACAGAGGGAGGGAAGCACGGGTCCCAGGTGCCTGTGGCTGGCCGGAGGAGGCAAGCCTGGGTCCCGGGTGCAGGGGCTGAGGCAGAGGCAGTTAGGGGTGATCAGGTCAGCAGGGGAGGACAGTTGGGGGAAATATCAGGCCGGCAAGGGAGGGCAGTTTGGGGCAACCAGGCCAGCATGGGAGGGCATTTGGGCGCAATCAGGCAGACAGGGCATGGGGGCGAGATCAGGCCGGCAGGGGAGAGCAGCTGGGGGTTTGATCAGGCCGGCAGAGGAGGGCAGTTAGGGGTGATCAGGCAGACAGGCAGAGAGGTTAGGGGCAATCAGGCAGGCAGGCAGGTGAGTTGTTAGTTGCCAGTGGTCCCAGATTGTGAGAGGGATGTCCAATTGGAGTGGGTGCAAACAGGGCTGAGGGAACCCTCACCCCATGCACAAATTTTGTGCACCGGACCTCTAGTATTATTATAACTATCTGTGTACAAAAAAATGTTCACAAAAACTTGTGCACTTACCTATAAAAGAGAAAGGACTCAAAATCAGAAATGAAAGTGGAGACATACAACTGATATCACAGAAATACAAAGGGTCTTGAGACTACTATGAACATTACATGCCAACAAATCTGACAACCTAGAACTGATGAATAGACTACTAGAAACATACTGTCTACAAAAAGTGAATCATAAAAAAATAGAAAATCTGAACAGACAGATCACTAGTAAGGAGATTCAACCAAAAACGTCAACAAACAGCCCGACTGGTGTGGCTCAAGGGTTAACCTATGGACCAGGAGGTCACAGTTCGATTCCCAATTAGGGCACATGCCCCGGTTGCAGGCTTGATTCCTGGGGAGGGGGGTGGGTAGAAGGGGAGATGCAGGAGGCAGCTGATCAATGATTCTCTTTCATCATTGATGTTTCTATCTCTCTCTCCCTTTCTGGTCCTCTCTGAAATCAATAAAAAAAATTTTTTTTTAAGTCAACAAACAGAACAAAAGTCCAGGACCAGATGGCTTCACTGGTGAATTTTATCAAGTATTTAAAGAAGAATTAATACCAAATTCTTCTCAAATTCTTACAGAAAATAGTTCCAAACTCATTTTACAAGGCCAGCATTATCTTGATTCTAAAACTAGACAAGAGTGCCACAAGAAAAGAAAATTACAGGCTAAAATCCCTGATAAATGTAGATGCAAAAATCCTGAACATATTAGTAAATCAAATTCTACAGCACATTAAAAGGATTACACACCATGATCAAGTGGGATTTATTCCAGTGATGCAAGAATGGTTCAACATTGGCAAATCAATACATGTGATAATGTCACGTTGACAAGACGGATAAAAAGCACATGATCACCTTGGTAGATGCTGAAGATACATTTGACACAATTCAACATCCTTATATGATAAAGACTCTCAACCAGGTGGGTATAGTGAGACAGTACCTCAACATAATAAACGATTTATGAGACAAGCCCACAACTAATGTCATATTCAACGGAGAAAGCCGAAAGCCTTTCCTCTAAGGTCAGGAACAAGACAGGATGCCCACTCTCACCAATCCTATTCAACAAAACATTGGAAGTCCCAGCCAGAGCAATTAGGCAAGAAAGAGAAATACAAAGCAACTAAATTGGAAAGGAAGGTGAAAAACTCACCATTTCCAAATGATATGATGTTATATATAGAAAATCCTAACACCACCACAAAAAAATTATTAGAATAAAGAAATTCAGTAAAGTTGCAGGATACAAAATCACAACCCAAAAATCCATTGTGTTTCTATACTGTTTATTTCATAGGAAACTATTGGAAAGAGAAATTATAAAAACAATCCTATTTACAATGCATCAAAAAGAATAAAATTCCTAAGAATAAATTTAACCAGGAAGGGGAAAGACCTACACTGGAAACTATAAAACATTGATAAAAGAAACCAAAGAAGGCACAAAAATGAAAAGATATTCTGTGCTCAGGACTTGGAAGAATATTGTTAAAATGTGCATAAACCCCAAAGCAATCTACAATGGGAAAAGGACAATCTCTTCAATAAATGATGCTGGGAAAATTGGACAGCCACATGCAAAAGAATAAAACTTGACCATCTTTCAACATAAATAACATTAACTCAAAATAGATTAAAGATTGAATTTAAGATCTGAAACCATAAAACTACTAAAAGAAAACAAAGGTAGTAAGCTCCTTGACATCAATGTTGGTAGTGTTTTGGTTTTTTTTTGCAGTTGGTATAAAAAGCAAAAATAAACATTGTAGGAGTACATCAAATGTACAACAAAGCTTCCAAACATCAAAGGAAAGTATCAACAAAATAAAAAGGCAATCTACTGAATGGGAGAAAATATTTGCAAATCCTATCTGATAAGAGTCAATATCCAAAATAGATTTTAAAAAATCATACAACTCAATAGCAATACAGAAACAAAACAAAACAAAACAAAACAAAAAACCAATTAAAAATGGGCAGAGAATCCAAATAGACCTTTTTCCAAAGAAGACATACAGATGACCAACAGGTACATGAAAAGATGTTCAGTATCACTAATCATCATGGAAATGATAACCCAAACCACAATGAGATACTACTTCACACCTGGTAGAATGGCTATTATCAAGAAGACAAGAATAAGTGTTGGATATGGAGAAAAGGGAACCCTTGTGCACTGTTGGTGGGAATGTAAATTAGTACAGCCACTATGGAAAATAGTATCGAGGTTCTTCAAAAAATAAAAAATAGAACTACCATATGATTCAGAAATTCTACCTCTAACTATCCATCCAAAGAAAACAAAAACACTAATTTGAAAAAATATACATGAAATTTGAAAAATATACCCTCTGTATTCATGGGTTCTGCATTTGTAATTGGTTTAATCTACAGATGCAGAACCAAAAGATACAAAGGGCGGACTAAGGGACTTGAGCATCCATGGATTTTGGCATCTGCTAGGAGTCCTTGAACCAATCCCCTGTGAAAACCCCCCATGTTCATTGCAGTATTATTTACAATAGCCAAGATATGGAAACAACCTAAATGTCCATAGACAGATGAATGGAGAAAGAATATGTGGTACATACACAGAATGAAATATTTTTCAACCATAAAAAAATGTCATGCCATTTGGAACAACATGGATGAAATTTGAAGAAAACTACTGTCAGTTTGAAAAGAGGTATTAGTGTGAGAAAAAAATAGATTTATGTGGGCTGACATACAGCTAAAAATAAATGGTGGTGGGGACATCTAAAGGACCTATAAAAAACCAAAATTTTAAATCTTTGTTTTTAACAAATTTATTGTGGTGACATTAGTTAATAACCTTTATATAAGTTTCAAGAGTACAATTCAATAATACATTATCTGTATATTACATTGTGTGCTCACCTCCCAAAATCTAGTCTCCTTCTGTCACCATATTTTGACCACCTTTACCCTCTTCAACATCCCTCCAACCTCCTTCCCCTCTGGTAACCACCATATTGTTGTCTGTGTCTATAACTTTGTTTTGTTTGTTCACTTGTTTATAGCATCTTTTAACTGAGGATAATAATGTTCTCTCTTAAAAGAAATGTCACTGAGGGGGGAAAATAAGCAAATGATTATCATTTCATTAAAAAATTTATTTAAGAAATACGTTGAGTCAATATAATATTTAAAATTACTTCAGTAAGTCCTACATTTAAAGTATTTTTTATAATATTGAGTAAAACCTTAAAGTAAAAGTAATATAAAGGTGCAGAACTTACTGCCTGTGCTTGCTTAATAAACTCAAGAATATCTTCTTTTAAAGCCTGGTGAATTTTTGCTGGGCCTTTATCATCCCAGAGACAGACAGCATGCACATCCCTATAAAATAAAGCAGATAAACAAACATTAACACTGGAACAAGAACAAAGACAAAACTCATGTTAAGTTCTGTTTTTATACAGTTTCCATGGACTATAGAATCCATTCATATGAACTAAGCATGTGTTGTAAGTTGTCTCATATTCGTTTCTATTTTCTTTGTCATTCATTGTTTTCTTTAAATCTCTGCCAGTTATTGCATAATATATAGATTTTTTTATCCTTATCCGAGGATATGTTTACTGATTTTTTAGAAATAGAAGAAGGGAGAAAGGGAGGGAGGGAGAGAGGGAGAGAGAAATTGATTGATGTGAGAGAGAAACATTGATGGGTTGCCTCATATATGTGCCCAGACTGGGGATTGAACCCACAACCTTTTGGTGTATGGGACAATTCTCCAACTAAGCAACCTGGCCAGGGCTGCATAAATATCTATACTAATAAAAGGGTAATATGCTAATTAGACCAGGAGACCTTCCAGATGTCCTTCCAGACAAAGCCACGGTGGTGGGGCCGAGGCAGTGGCAGTTAGGGGTGATCAGGCCAGCAGCGGGGCGGTTGGGGGCGAGCAGGCCGGCGGACAGAGTGGTTGGGGGGGATCAGGCAGGCAGGCAGGTGAGCAGTTAGGAGCCAGCGGTCCTGGATTGCAAGAGGGATGTCTGACTGCTGGTTAAACCGGCGGTCTGACATCCCCCAAAGGGTCCCAGATTTGAGAGGGTGCAGGCTGGACTGAGGGGCACCCCCCCATACATGAATTTTGTGCACCAGGTCACTAGTATACATATATTTTTAAATCCTCACCCAAGGATATTTTTTCATTGATTTTTAGAGAGAGCAGAAGAGAGAGAGAAAGACAGAGAGAAATAGTGATGTGAGAGAAACTCAGCGATTGGTGTCACCTGCAAGAGCCCTGACCAGGGTTGGGGCTGGGGAGGAACCTGTAACCAAGGTACATGCCCTTGACCAGAATCGAACCCAGGACCCTTTGTTCTGCAGGCTGACACTCTATCCACTGAGCCAAACTGGCTAGGGCTGCATATATATTTTTAATTATAAAAGTATACTATTTCTTAATCCCATTCCCCAAAGTGAACTCCTATTAATATTTTCTTGTGCAAAGCAAGTATAAACCCAATTAATTCTTTAATTCAATATATGTAAACTAGTCTATTGTTTTGAAAATATAGTAACTTAAATCCCATTACAGTGAATCTTCCATACATTCATTACATTTACACATTAACTACTATTGTGTCTCCTTTAGTTAAAAAAACAAAAACTCTCATAAACTAGTTACAAAAACTCTAAACTTAGGAAGTTGACATATTTTAACCAAAGAACATTCATTACAGAAATATATTTGAGATTAATACATATTCTCAAAGTCAATTTGTTAATTACTAAGTTGTAGAGCAGGGAAACATAACAAAAGGGTAGTCTTTTATTCAGGATTTTTTATTGAGGATTCTTTTATTTGGAAAACGCTCCCCAGTGACTTATTCAGCACCTTCTCAAGTCCCTGCTATAAAAAATGTCAAAGAAATCTAAATAAAACACCTCCAGAATTATAACATTATAATAATGGCCAAATAGTTTGTTTTATATTCAGATTCTAAGGAACGTCAGTATAACCCAAAGTTCTGTCTGCATATTAATTTTTTTAATACTGTATATTTTTATTGATTTCAGAGAGGAAGGGAGAGAGAGAGAGAGAGAGAGAGAGAGAAATATCAGTAATGAGAATCATTGATCGGCTGCTTTCTGCACGCCCCACACTAGGGATTGAGCCCGCAACCCAGGCATGTGTCCTTGACCAGAATCAAACCTGGGACCTTTCAGTCCGCAGGCTGGTTCTATCCATTCAGTCCGCAGGCTGACGTTCTATCCACTGAGCAACACCGGCTAGGGCTCCATATTAATTTTTTAAAATATATTTTTATTGATGTCAGAGAGGAAGGGAGAGGGAGAGAGAGAAAGAAACATCAATGATGAAAGAGAATCATTGATTAGCTGCCTCCTGCACACCCCACACTGGGGATTGAGCCCACAACCAGGGCATGTGCCCTGACAGGGAATCTGTGACCTCCTGGTTCATAAGTCAAATCTCAACCACTGAGCCACACCATCCAGGCTGCATATTAATTTGAACTTGCTTTTGTCATTTGTTTAATTCAGCTTAATAGTGGTATCTGCTCCAGTGTCTGGAATGCAGTAAGCACACAAATATTTGTTAAGTAACAACGTAATAGTAACATCTGACTGCTCAATACCAGTATGTGCCAGATTCTATTCTAAGCTGTTTTAACTCATTTATCCTTCACAGCCAACTCTGAAGGAGTATTATTTTCATTGCAATTTTACAGATGTGGAAACTGAGGCAAAGAGAGGTTAAGGAGCATTCCCAAGTAACATTCCCAAGATTACAGAGCTAGTATATATGGTGGAACCAGGCAGTTTGGCTCCAGAGGCCACACCAACCATTCCCCCAGATTCACTCTTGCACTTCCTCAATCCATCCAACCAACAGTAGCCAAAATAATCTTTATGAAACTCAAAAATCACAGCATATTACTTCTACATTTAAAATCATCCAATGGTGTTCCACTCCTCTTTGAATAAAGTACAAAATGGTTAATTGACCCTTATAATAAGCTGCAGTATCACCTCATGACTAAAGGAATCAAGAGTTGAAAAGAAGAAATTGATACAAAAATAGATTGATTATAACTCAGTATGTTTACAACTATTACTGTGCATATAAACACAAGGCATAAGAGAGTGGTGGAAGAATATTTTATGAAGTAACAATGAGTAAAGGACTGTGGATTACTATGGTGTCTGCAGTGCACTATAAACAAATCACTGTGGTTAGTATGTAAAGTGGGGAGTGAAAAGCAAAAAATTAGGCAAACTAACCTTATTTGAGCCCCTAAGTTCAATCATGGTCCTATTATACCCATTTCCTAAATATCACTCTAATTTGGACATTTCCATCCATCACCACCAGTATATAATTAAAATCATGATAATCTCGGGAGAAACTAAGATGGCGGCAGAGATAAACACCGGGAAATTAAGGCCGCTCACAACAATTGATTAATACCTCAGAGAAACAATACGGACTTCATCCAGAACCATAGGAAGCCTGGCTGACTGTAAACTCTACAACTAGAAGGAAGGAAACGCACACTGAGACCCAGAGAAGCTGCAGGAGAGAAGCGCAGAGGTACAGGGCTCGCGCGCGGAAAGGGGCTGGCACCCGAGGACGCGGCGGTCTTTTTGAGTCCGGAG